TTTTTATGGTAACAATGTGAATTCAGTTCAGTCCAGTTCTTGCTTATAACACAGCAAAATGTGGAAATGTAAACAGGGGAATGAATACTTCTGCAAAGCACTGTAGAGGAGGTCTTCTAAAGATCAATACAGTATATAGTCAGGTTGATGTGATGGCAGTTGCTCCTTCAGGTAACTAGGTCCCAAGCCATGGTTTCAAATACTCTAAAGTATGATCAAGATGGATCGGAAGCCAATGAGATGTGTTCCCAAGAATCAGGCCAGTAAGTTGCCTAAAAGTTGAATGTTGAACTAATTGCAATTTACACGTAACACAGCATTTATCACACCACAGATATAGCTGGTCACACCTTCTCTTCAGATGTTAAGCTATTACATGGCATGGTGCAAAGAGGCCTATGGAATGCCTCTGAGCACACTGGACTGTCATAACTGAAACATTCCACAAGCCAAGTTGGTTCTCTGGGAATACAGCTTGAACGAAGTGCAGATTCTGTGCCATCTAGATTAAGTTGAATATGAACTATCTTAACCTTGCTTAGCAAACGTGTCACATAGTAGGCTTCAAAAGCTCCCTTCATTTTATTCTGTGGGCAAGGTTGTAATATGCTTGAAATCACTCAGAAAAACTCTGCGAGACATTATCATTGCAATAGGATTCTTAACAATGAATTTATATTTAAGGGTGTTTGCATTCACTAAGAGTCTCTGACAACCTGATTTCTGACTATCTCTTTCAGCTTCATTGCTCATGGCTCCCTGAAAGACCAAGAGGCTGAAGTGGGTTCTGCATTGTGAAAGAGGATGCTTAAGAACAATGCCATCTAGTACCTAAAAAATCCTGGTAACACATGGAGAATGTAGGATTTCAAGCAGGAGTGCAAGTCATGCCAACAGTGAATTCTCTAAGGACTTTTATGAATCTTATTCAGTCCAAATCCCTGCAGAGAAGACTAGTCATGCAAGTCTAAACTGCAGCAGGGTTCTGTGCGGTATGCTGCAGAGTTGGTTTTTTTTTTTTTTTGCATTAATTAATTTTAATGAATTGAAATCTATTTATTTATTTGATTTATACTCTGCCTTCCTACCAAAAAACTGGCACACAAGGCACCTTACAGGTGCAATTAAAATTGATTGAAACAAGAAATTATGTATTAAAATACAATAAAACATAACAATTATAAAATAATAGTTATAATACCCTTAACCCAACAATTGTAGTAACATCCTAAAGGCATTCTTGACTAAAGCAGTTTTTTTTCCGGAAAAAGGAAGTAAGTAGAAAGGGAGCAAACGTAATCTTCCATGGGAGGGACCTCCACAGCCTCAGAGCAAGTCATCAAAGAGATTCTCTTCTCTGGCTATCTGTAAACATGTCCCTGAAGGTGATGGTCTTAAAAGAAAAACTGAACAGGCTCATATGGGAGTAGATAGCATTTCAGATAGATAGGTCTTAAGCTAAATAGGCCTGTACAGGTCATAACCACTATTTTGAATTTTGCCTGAAAACAAACCAGTAGCAGTAAAGATTCTGTGACACAGGAGTCACATGCTCTGTGTAACTAATCTCAGTCAATAGTCTAGGTGCCTGGAGCTGAAGTTTCTGAACAGTTTCCAAAGACCCATGTAGAGCATTTTACAGTGTTCTAAATGGGCTGTACCTATTTGTGACTGTGGCCAGATCAGACTTCTCTAGGAAGTGGCAAATTTGGTGCACTACATCTGACCACTGTCAAGACTTAGGCATCCACATTTAGGGCTTAGTACAGGAGTACACCCAAAATGTGCTTGTGCCTGTGGGAAGGGGATATCCACATCCAGTGCAAGTTGAATCTCTATTCCCTGATCTGCCATTCAACCGACCAAAAGCACCCGTAAGATCCAATTTGTTGTTTGCCCTGATTCAGTCCATTGCTAACATCAGGCATTGTCTTAGAACTAAAATAGCTTCCTTTAGATGGAAAAGGTTTATAGAATGGAGTGCCATCAACATACCTGTGACACCAAATCTCCTAGTACTGGATAATATGTCCCAGTGGTTACATGTTTATGTTAATCAGCATGGAGAGACTTCACAGGACAATTGTTATAGCATTGAACAGGAATCTTCCAGCAAAGCCTTCTGAGACCATTCTAGAAAAAGGGCCAGGGGTACCATATAAGAGTGTCCCTCTCCACCAACAGATGCCTCAGAAGGATACCAAAACTGACAGTATCAAAAGCTATTGGAAGGTCCAGCAGAACTAACAGGTGGGGCTAGGATGTTTGAGGAATCCATTTTGGAGGTGGGAATCCATCTGATTCCCTAGCTTGTTTACTACCACTCCCTTTAGACCAGACAGAACCATGCCTTGCCAGAAAGAGATGTACACCACTATCCTTACCTACAGAACAAGTCCCTCTTAAAAGCAAGGAAGGATCCTGCACACAAGAACTAGGTCTTACTTTTCCAAAAATCTAATTCACATTCTCAGACTGTACAAATTGAACAGTATCCACTGTAACTAAACAAGTAGAAATCAAAGTTTCATTCACCAGAACTATCAGTTATGGCATCCAATTTGCCATGAACACAATTGATCTTATCTGAAAAATGTCACATAAATTAGTCACAGTAGGTCTCAAATTGGTTATAGTAGGCTATCAGGTACATTCTTCTTCTTCTTGTGACCCAGATCACAACAGACATCTGGCCACCTGAAAGAGATCTTCTGCATAACTTTGAGCAGATGCAATGATTCTAGAGCAGTACATTTTCTTTATCACTACCAATGCCACAATGGAGGCTTTCAAAGAAGATCTAGTTCATGTTTGATAGACTTGTTCTGAGTTTTCCAATGTTGCTCTAGTTAATATTTCACATGTTATATTACCTGAAATGCGCTAGAAAACAAGGAGCTCATATGGCTCCATTCTGTGCGAGAAGACACTCAGGAACAATCATGTCAATCACTTTGGCTATTTCTCCTTTCCATAGACCATACCAGATTTGATACCAGATTTGATAAATACCAAATCAAATTTGATAAATAAATATCAGATTTGATAAAATGGCCCTGCTGAAGTGACAGGAAGATCCCCCAAAACAATCAGAAAGCCATTTGAATCCATCAGTCCTCAGAGACAGGCCATCTTAATTAGCCTCTACTTCTCTAGAGGCTTCACGTCCCTGACTCCCAGCAAGTCTAAACTCTTCCAGGTAGCACTCTGTCTGTGACAAAAGAACTACAGAAAGTTCTTTTACTCAAATCGCCACTATACATGGACACCTCACACACACACTCACAATCCAGGGTGTGCCTTGTTGAATGAGCAGGGTCAGATACTAGCTGCAACAGACACATGGCTGCCACGGAGACCATGAATTCCGGAGTAATCCCAACAATGTGGCCTCAACATGTATGTAAAAGACCTCAACATAAACACCAACCCTGAAATTATCTCAGCTAATTTATGAAAGAAAATTGTTGAGTGGTGGCACAGGCATTATACCAATAGAATTCCTATTGTGCTAAAATCACCCACCTTCAAAGATACAAACTCAGACTGTAAGAATAAGGGACAGAACGGCTGGAGAAGGGGAAGGAATCACAACAGACCACTGTGATTCTGTCTCTTTTTCTACTGTAAGACAAAGAACCCAGGTAGACAAGGTTGGGAGAGATTCACATTCCCAGTCCCATCCACCTTGGTTCTGTGATAAAGGTCTGTAGGCCAGGAAGGAACTCTTACCATTTCACTTTGTTTCCCAGCCACTACTGTACTATATCTCTTCCCCACAATTTGACTCACTAAGTAGCAGTGGAAGCCATTATATGACTAGCCACACTCTCAACAAAAGCCATTTTGTGATGGTGGCCAGAGCACTTCTCAAATCTCCAAATGTGCTCAGAAGTCCAAAAAAGCCAGGAACCCTTGGGTTACAAAGAATACATAATTACCTTGTTACAACAACTTCACTGTCTACATGTCTGTTTCCAGACAAAATGCAAAATGCTGGTTAGAACCTACAAAACCCCATGCAGCCTGAGAACAAGCTACTTGAAATACTGTCCTCTGGGACGTAATCATAGGGAGGAGTCCTTAGTGGCAATGTGAAAGAGGATCTTTTTGGTGGCTGTTCCCTGACTGTGGAACTCCTCACAGAGAGTGGCTTGCTTTGCTTCCATTCTGCTGTGGCTGGCAAATACTTTTTGTTTAAGTGTCCCTTTACTACATATGAGGGTCTGGTGGGCTGGATGCTGTTTTTAGTCTGTTAGTGTTGTTTTTAATTGTGTTTCAATGTATTTTCAATTATTCTTTTGTTCAGGTTTTATTGTGGTTTTAACACATCTCAAGTGCCATGTTTTCTTGGTAAAAAGATGGGGTACAAATCAAAGACAGATGGATGAAGAAAGGCTGCTAAAGGCAGTCCCTGAGTTCTGAATGAATTCTGTTTCTGAGAAAAAGGAAATATGTCTTTAAGTCAAATTTGTACACAGTCATTTCACATATAGTTGGCCCTCCACATTTATGGGGGTTAGGGAAGCAAGACCCCAATGAAACTGGATAAAAAATCCCCCCCCCCCCCAATACCCCAGAGCCTCCTCTTTGCAGCAAGGAAATGCAGGAGAAATTTCCCTCTCCAAATCGGCAGGGTAGAAAGACATGCTTTGGAGGCCTCCTTCTCTACCTTTTTACCTCCTTCCTTTCTATGGAGGCCTTCCTTCTCTCTCCTTCCACTTCTCTCTTTATGGTGATGATGATTTCCTGTAGAAGGCCTTTAATTTGTAAGCCGCCCCGAGGCTTCGGCGAATGGGGCGGCATAAAAATGTTTTAATAAAATAAAATAAAATAGTTTGAATTTTTAAATTAATAGGCTTTATGGCAGTGCATTTGTAAATACAGATTGTTCATAACTTGGATGTTCATGACCCGGGGACTATATATGATCTGACTTGCATACAAAATTTGACTTAAAGATTAATTCCTGTTTTTTGTAACCCAGGGACTGCCTGTACCTGTGCATAATCTTCAAGGAATGCCATTCTGTTTACCATTCTCTATACCATAACAATAGTCTAACACAAGTTATAAACATTTTGCAGTGGTATCTGAAAATAACGAACTGCTACAGTGAACTATTTTCTCAGTTTCCTAAATAATGCTTCAAGGTTTGTATTTCAGGAATCATGCACCACTACAGCCTGCTGGATTGTGAAATACCAGTTCAGAAGAGAGAGTACACAATTGACTTTGTATCATTGTTGAGCAACATCTGAGTCATTTCAGCAGGGTTTAGTTAGGTGCCCTAGAAAAGCCTCTTCAAAACTAAGGGAGAATAAAATTGCCCAAAATGGATTTCTAACATTTCAGGCCTGCCTGCCCTACTACCTTTGATTATACTTTTTTCTATTAATAAATCTTATTTTAATGTACTTACTGTTTAGAAATTCTGTTCAGCAGTACAGAAAATGAGATATTAAGTGTATAACCAGTATTACTCTGAGAAAGAATAATATATATCATTCTACAAACACTTTGTTCTTTAAAAATGAACAATTACTTAATAACAAACTCCTTCCAAATTCCTAGAAAACTGCAAATGGCCTTGGCGAAACTATGTATTCTGTAGATTTGTTTTCAATAAAAATATTAGTAATTTGTCTTTCCTGGAAACCTGAACTTCTGAATTTTTTTCTAATTTATGGGCCTGACCATGCCATTTTGAGCTGTTCAACACTTCAAGTGGCTGTCCTGGGACAGCAAGGTTAGTGTGACTACTATTAATCAGTTTCATTCTTCCTAATTTATCTCATTCAGTTATGATACGTCACATAAAATGGCAGAAGTAGGCTAAAATGATTATTAACTTGACAGCATCAGGGGAAACCATAACAAGATGTGGAAATTTTGGAACCCTTATCCCTTAACACACACATTATATGATGATCCTATTTAAAGCAGTGTACAACTATTTCTCAAATTTAAAAATTCCTACAAACACACATCTGCCAGGGTAGATCCATTGAAATCAGTGAGACATTAGGTCAGACTAACTGAAGTTCCATTGATTTTAATTGGTCTACTGTAAATATAACTAAGACTGGATAAAACACACAGAAATTTAGTGAATATTAATATACAGAGATTTTAAAATCTTGGACAGTAACACACACACACACAGAGAGAGAAGAACACTGTTTCTAGAGTTTCATCTTCATATTCCACATAAAGTCCACTTGATGGTAACTTACACTGTGTTCAGACTTCCTATCAAGTCATGGTTGGTGTTTGCGGACTCCACTATACATCAGAAAGAAACTAGAAGCTTCAAAAAGTTCTAGTTTTGAAGTAACCTTTAACTATGTTTAGTGAAAATATGAACCAACTGCATAACCTATGGTTTGAAGATGGCTTGATTCCACTAATCATAAATAGGTTAATCAGTCTCTCTAGGTTTGCCTAAGACCGTAAATTGCATTTAATCTGAAAAGCAAATGAAAGCTTTAAACTCCTGCTTGTACCTGCACCCGAGGAAAAATGTGTGATCCTGGGAGATGCTTTACATGTAGAATCTTTCAGATTTAAATGGTGTTTCCAATTAACAGGATCAAAAGACATGCCTAAAACCCACTGTCAGAACAGAAAATACTGGACTAGATGGACAAAACAGTCTAACCTGAAAAAAGGTTGCTTCTTATCATTCTGTCTGGCACTGTATGTGATTAAATACTGTTAATTTTGATCACCTCTGTCTCCCAAACCCCTGGTAATACTTTTGTGAACATTTTTAAAGGTTTAAAGGATGCTGTGTGCAGTACTGTTTTCAACTATTGACCATCACAACGTTTTGTGACAGCAAATTGAATAAATAAATTCTGTATTGTGTGAAGGGTGATTTTTATCTACATTGTCCATAGCATTGTCCATCCGTAGTCTAAACTGAAAAGTCCTGAACACTTTAGCCTTTTCTCATAGTATTCCAATCCCTAATTACTCTGCTTGCCCTTTGCTAGACCTCCAGCTTTCTAAGATGGTTTGTGGCCTCATCCACTCATTGAAGCAAACTTAAATGCTCAAATGTAAACTTATACATCTTACTGTATTTTTAGAGGAGAATTACAGAAAGAGCTGTTTTTGTATTGCTATACGCCATGGAGTGTAATCATAGAGGTTTCATACTACAACAAGTCTAGTCAAAAGGGATTTTTAAAGGTAGAAGGTTAGCAAGAGCAACATATTTCCCCTACTATTTGGTCCCAAAAAGTTATACAAATTTGCCCTCAAAGTAATCACCAATACATAAACTGGTGCAAATTTCACATCTGTTTACCTCCCAGCTATTAAATTTGCATAGATTGTTGTGAAGCCTTGTTTAAACCTGTCAGGGAAAGACTGCAACTGCAGCAATAAATGTTCTGAAAAGAAACCATGAAAGGGGGCAGGGAACTCAGTATTTCCCATTTCTGTAGTAGCTGGAGATTTGGGGAAATGCTGAAGAAGTAGAGGATACTGAGAACTGTCAGTTCAACACTGAGAGGATTGCCTTACCAAGGCAAAAGTATTTTCCCCTTTCTTTTTCTGCTTTTTAATTATCTGCTTTTTTTTCTTTTTCACTTTTCAATTGACAGCTAGACTGTGTGCACAAATTACCCTATATGTAGTCTGGCCCTATCAATTTGTTCTTAGTGTGCCTTGCTGCTTCCTTTTGACATCTAGAACACACGGAGAAATTGAGCAGGCATGCCAATACCTGATAGTAACCATAAGAATGCATTATGATCCTAATTAACTATTTCTTGAGGGACCAAAAAATAAACGCTGAAGAGCAAGTGATAGTCCTCCCAAAGTGCTGTTTCAGCATGTGTAGAAGGGCAATCACTGGCACGTTTGTAGAAGTGCACAATAGGGGTTTTTGCCACTCTCACCAAGATGCTCGATAGTCATTCATGACAAACCACAATTAAGTAACTTTGTTGTGTTTAGATAACAACAATTCATTTGGGCAAGAACAACCATATAACAAGCTACAAATCTGCAGAAATCATTCCCTGATCAAATGACACAATAACACATCATGTATAGTTTACCTATGGTAAGCTGTGTTGTGTAAACTAGGTGATTGTTTCAGAAACTTCTCAGATCCAACAACTTAAACTTTCAGGGAATATTACCATGTTCTGTTTGCTTTAAAAGAAAAAAAAACATACCAATGAAAGTAGCTGTGTCAGTTCTCACATTTATCTATATCCTAATATAGGACAATTTATTCCTGTCTGTGTTCTGTATCTTGGATAGTTCAAGAAGAAATGCTGGGTATATTGCCAAACATAAATTGGATTATGAGAAGCTGTGGATGATTCTGAAAGAAATGGGTGTACCTCAGCACGTGACTGATTTGATTACCTGTAGTATGGACAAAAAGCTACTGTTAGGACCGAATACGGAAAAGCAGAATGGTTTCCTATAGGCAAAGGTATCAGACAAGGGTGCATTTCATCTTCCTCTCTGTTCCATCTGTATGGATCAGGATCAGGGGAAGGAGGATTAAAGACTGGCAGAAGATATATCAATAATTTTAAGATAACCATATGATAGCATATTACAGGCTGAAAGTAGCCATACATTGAAATGATTTATTAGAAAATGAACAAAAAAGTGCAAAGCCAGAGCAGCAGCTGAATATTAAGAAAACAAAAATCATGGCTACAGAACTCGCACAACTTTAAGTAAACAATGAAGAAACTGTAACTGTGAAAGATTTTGCATATGTTGGCTCAAGCATCAATTCAAAGGGAGCACGTGGCCAAGAAATTTGAAGAAGATTGAGAGTTGGAAGGGCAGGAACTAGAGAAAGTCATCAACTGTAAGAATGTTTCACTGAAGACCAACAGATCATCTACACTACTGCATTCTCAATTATATGTATGTCTAGCTTTCAAAATTATATGTATGTCTAGCTAGTAAAGCAAACTGATGCATTTGAAACATAGTGCTGGAGGAGAGCTTTGCAAATACCCAGGTCTGACAGAAAGAAATAAATCCTAGATCAAATTGAGCCCAAACTTTCTCTGGAAGCAAAAATGACAAAACTGAAGCTGTTGTACATCTGGACCATCATGAGAAAGCAAGACTCACTGGAGAGGAAAATCACATTAGCGAAAGTCCTAAGCAGAAAAACAAGGAAAAGGGCAAATATGAGAGACAGCCAAAGAGCTGAGCAAGACTGTCAAGGACTGCCAATAGCAGGTCTATTTGAATGGAATTTATTCATAGGGTCACCATAAGTCAAAAACAACTTAATGTCCATAGTAATACCATAGTAATACCATCACCCACCAACAACACATTGCCTCACTGAATAGCTTTCCACATGGGCCATCTTTTCCCAGATTGTTGAGGATTTTACACAAATGTCCCTCACCATGACAATGAGAAATAGAGCATCTTGCCTTTTTTATTATGAATATATTTCTCAAACATTACATTTGTTATTTTAATTCTGTATCCTCCAAGGACAGGCAACCAGGTGCCCTTCAGATATTTCAAACGACTCTTATACTCCATGCCAATTACTCATTATTGTCTGAGGCTAATGGGATATGTAATCTAAAATATGTAAAACTAGGCAAAGACTATGTTGTTTCTTTGTTCTCTACAGGTTTATCATGCCATTGTTGTGAAAGAAATATTAGAAGCTAGAGAAGTAGTCAGATTCTGCAGTGGTTTTGCAGTTGCTTTTTAATGCCCGATACCAATTATTTCTTTTTAGAACATATTGTCATATGACTGGAATCTGGAAAGGGATGTATAATATGAGGTTTCATTAGCACCATACAAAATTACAAAGTCGAAAAAAACTGGCAAACTGTATATGATTCCTACTTTTGTTTTTAGTTTTAAATATTTTGATGGGTTCTACAGTACACTGAAAATATTTCAAAATTGCTTAAATATGTAACTTGGCTCATGTGGCATAATTATTATATTATTTTATTCTTTGGCCAGGGCGACTTATTTTATATTGTTAACTTATTTTATATTGTTAATTATATTA